TTAATCTCAAAGTGGGTTCCTCGTCATCGAATTTTTAACCTAGCAGTTGTTTGAAACCCAAATTTGTATTTAAAATGGGTAATGTTAATGGTACTTTGTTTACATATTTCGTGTGACTCTTATGTAAATAACAAACTTATAGCAGTCTGATACTTAAAGTTTAATTAAAAATATTGCCTATAGGGTAATTATAAGGTGAATTAAAATCAACTCATTATAAAAGTGTTCACATACTCATACTATCTTTAATTCTTTGTCGTATTTCTAGGGAAGTGAAGTGAATTATTCGAATATTTAATGGTGACGAAATTTAGAGTTAATAAAATCGTAATTTTGACAGACAGACAACTTGAAGAGTTTTTTTCACATTATTTTTCTTGTTTATAATATTCAGGCCATGAGTTATGTGATCAGTGCAAGCTTATTTTGTGGTTCTCCTCGTGCATTGAACGTGAGAGTGTCTTTAATGTCGTATCTTATTAACATAACTCCCTTTTCCGGGTAGGGGCAAGAAGCATAAGGTTTTGTAACCTTTCTCGATAGGAAGGCTTTGTTTATATGTATATGTTATCTCAGCAGAATAAATATGTAGTACTATAGGCGCCACCTACACGTACGGAAAAGCAACAGTTCTCGTGGGAAAATGTTTACCTGACAAAGGATATAGACCGCCAGCATGTGAAAATCTCACTTGTCCAGGAGTAGTAATCATAGTGACCTTGACCCTTTTCTTGTCCAGCGTTTGGATGAAATAACTGTTTTTTAGTCTTTTCTCATCTTCTGGTACAGAAGACGACGGACGATAAGCCTCGAATAAGTGCAAGGTTTCTTGTTCTCGGTTCTCGTTTCCTTAAATGTAGCCCCCTCCCACCCTCCACCTAGTAGAAGGAAGAGAACTTTGGAGGTTAGAAATGTGACCTCACAAAAGATCATTCAATGTCTTATCTTTTTTTCCTTCTTCACAAAGTTGCTTTCAGACGTTGTTCACAAGACTGCATAATGCTAAAGAGTTGAAACGGTCGCTGTTTACCTATAAATGGTGTTAGAATTGGCTTTTAAATAAACAAGACTGCGACGTTACAAACATGTATTAACTCGCAGCTAGGTCTTCAGCTTTATAAATTATTTCTTTACACATTTTCCACGAAACTGGTAAATGGGGGAGGGTCATAATAATAAGCTTGTTTAAGAAACTAATTTACAACAGCATGTATTAATGTCTGTTCTCAAAATCCTTGCTGGGTAGCACGCTATCTGAAGGTGAATAAAAACGTCATAAATAACTATTTTATCGTATAAAATCATTGTCAAGTTTTATAATATACTTTTTTCATAAGTTTGTTTAAACGTAAAACCACACGAACTGAACGGCAAAACCCAAAAAATTAAGAATGTAGTCACTTTAGTCTGTTTTGCGATAAATTAATTACAAAGAAAAACTTAAGAATGATTTCAGAGATAAAAACAACTAGAAATAGAACAAAACCGACTACGAAAAAACAATTTTTTTCACCGGTTAAAACCGGTGCATTACATAGTGGAGTCGTTCTTGATATACACAATACTGACGGTGCTAAAGTGCTAACTTATAAAAACATCTTGACTTAAAAGGTTATATAGATCTTGTTTTGTTCGATAATTCAACATCAAAACAAGAAATGTTGAACATATAGATACATAAGTTTATAGGTTAGAAGTGTAATAATTTACTGTTCGACTGGATACGGCCTGTGGTTAGCATGTCGGGCTGTTGAACCGAGGGCCCATAGTTCATGATCCATGAAGCCGTTGATGCGTTATAAGAGTTATGGTCAAATCCCACTGTTAGATTAGTATAGCCCAAGAGTTGGCGGTGTGTGGTGTTGGCTAGTTGCCTTCCCTCTAGTCTATTATGAGGAAAGATTTGCGCAGGTAAATGTTGTGTAACTTTCTCCACTTAACAGAAGTTTGAATTACAGCATGACGATGTGGTTATAAACCCAAGAGTAGTTTGATTGTAGAGTTCACTTGGTTAACTCTGGTTTCTGTAGGCGTATGAGGAAGCCCTCTTTTATATGGACGATCTGTTCATCATTACCACTTGTGAAAATCTTAAAACAGTTTGAATGGACGTGTTCAAGTATAATAGCTCTTTTTCATAGACCCAAAATGTAGCTGTTCTTTTTGTAAATTAAATCAATATAACCATG